TGTGTCATATGTTTCAAAAATATGGTCAACCATACCATGCTGTATTCACACAGTGCTTATTAAATAGCATACTATTTATTACTTAGCTAAGGTTCTGATTTCAGTGCCAACAACTGGCTAAAGGAGGGGATGTTCTGTTTTTATTACATTGAAGCTAGAAGCCTAAATCATGGAGTTCAAGAAATGGTTTCTATTGAGCTCTGACCATTCTTACAGTGCTAGCCTCTGAATCAGTCTTATTTCCCTCTGTCTTACAAGTAATTAGTGCTGGGTTGGGGTTGTAGCTCATTGGTAAAGTGCTTGCTAGTATGTGAGAGGCCTTGATTCAATGCTCAGCATTGGAAAAAAAACAAAAAGTTGTATATTTTCACATCGGTCTTAGCCGTCCTACTTAAGAGGAAAGTTTTTGGTGCAAACAGGTGTGACTCCACACCTGTGTTAACATTTGTAAAACTAGGTCCATAATTGTATTTCCTGAAAAGGTGATTCTGGCAAATAGGAAACATTTACCACAATGACATATACAGTACTAAGGGCTCAATAAATACTAACTACTATGCTTAGTGAGAAGTTCTAGATTTAATATTTTAAACTTCCTTTATATTCTAGGCCAAGGAGATGAAGTCCTTTGTTACCTGATTATTGAATAACAAAAGTAGTGATTAGGCATACTTGGTCTCTTCCTTTCAAGCATATAAATGTCCTAGGTAAACAAAGAGATTACCACATCTTTTAGGACCCTCAGCTATCTGGACCTTTCACACCAGTCATTTTGCATTTAATCACAGCTCTAGAAAGTACATCTGATTACTGTATTTGTCTTTCCTATGCTGTTACAAGGTCCTTGAAGGTAGTGTCTTGCTTTTATTCCCACTATCTTAGCATAGCTCTGGCACATTACCAAATGAAACTCAAGTTCTGAATGCTTCACTGCCATCCCTTTGCCATTCTAGTGAATGAAACAATTACCTTTTACTCTTTCAAAAGGGCACTTGTGCTTAGTTGCATAAAAATTTATCAACAGAAAATATTTATACATAATTAGCTAAAGGAAGTGTAGAGTGAAGCTATGTAAATAAGCTCATCACCTCTCACTTCACTTCCCAGCTTTCCTTTTTTGGAAGGATTATTTTCAGATTCAAAAGTTTATTTGTAAATGGCCCCATTTCTTTTGTTACAGCCTACAGTGTACATCAGAATAAAGAACAGAGCCCAGGATGAGTATCTGACAGTCACTGGAAATCTAGCTGACACAAGGGCAACATCTGTATCCATCTCTCCCTATAGTGGAAAAAATACTCAGATCTGGCACTACTGTCGCGGACTCTTTAAATCCAAGGTACCCCATTTTTGATGTTTTGTATTTTTATTTTGGAAAGTAGATTCTTGCCAAATCAACTGCCATAAATAAAATAATGTGAATTCCTAGGTGCAGTTTATTGTATGGTCATTAAAATATTACTTGCATGCTACTAAAGCATTTAAGTAAAATGGACTAAGATAATCCTTTGATCTAGAAAACTCAGTTTTATGTTCTAAGTAAAAACTAAGATCATATACTGTAGATATGCTTAAGTAAAAATGTTTTAAACCAATGTAAGTCATTGGATCTGAATTAGAACAATATGCTTTTTTGACATTCTGCATTTGGAGAACAGATAGGATCAGCTGTCTGTGTGGCTCCAAACATGTTAAAACCCTTTTGTTTTCAAAATACACAATAAAGTAGTAGTAGAAGAAAAAAGGTGTTATTGGAAAAAGCTTAGAAAATAAGATAGAGGTTTCTTTTTCTATGTCTCTACTATGTTTGATGCTATGGGGGATAAGGTACTATTATAAAAAAAACCATTAAAACTATGTTTTAATGTATCACCATTTTATCTACTCCTCATGCTTCAAAAAATGTAAAGTATTTAAAAACAATTATTATCTGGTTACCTTTAACATCACGGTATTTTTAGTAAAAAAAAAAATCTACACATAATCCACCTTAAGCTAACAGGGACTTAACATTTAATTCCAATTCAGCAAACTTTCACTGAACATCAGTTGTCAGATGTGCGTGTCCTTTTAACAAGTACAAGTGGACACAGTGGTGCATGCCTGTAATCTTAGCATTCAGAGAGGCTGAGGCAGGAGGATTACAAATTAGAGCCCAATCTGGGCAATTTAGTGACTTACAAGACCTTGTCTCAAAAAATAAAGGGCTGGGGATGTAGCTTAGTGCAAAGGGCCTGCATTCAATTCCCAGTAACTCAATTAATTTAAAAATACAGGTATTTTGGCCTCTATTTTAGTTGCCATACCATCTCCTCACCTCCAGCCATAAAGACTTAAAAAAATTTTTTACTGAAATTATATATCTTTTTAGCTAAGACACAGACACCTTATGTCTACGATTTGTTCACCTGAAAGAAAAGGGACCCTATTCAACATTGAATACATTAGTAAGTACACCACTGCCATTTAATTTCTTAACCTTTCCAGGCCAGTGATACATGTCTTGATGTGATTGGCGGCCGGGACACACCTGGTGCAAAGGTGGCCCTATGGACTGAACATGGACAGTTCAGGCAGAAGTGGAGACTGAATAAAAATGGAACTATCAGCTCTTATCTCAGTGATCAACTTGTCCTTGATGTTAAAGGTGGGCCTCAGAACATACACAATGTTTTATGTCCCTGGATATCAATTTATGTTCAATCCTCCCCTTTATGGTAAAGGACATCCTCATTATATGAGAAGTCACTTTTAATTATGCTTGAAAAACGTTAAGATGCACAGTTTTACAAATAAAACAGTTAGCTATATGGATCAAGAGGAAAAAGTCCAAATAAGTTGGGATTGTCTTTTGTTCATTAGTAGTACAGTTATAGAATTTATTTGCAACTGTAATTTTCATGAACTCTGAGAACAAGTCTTAATTAGAAGCATCATAAACCATAAAATGAATGTCATCTGTTTCACAGAAAGAAGCATTTCTAACTTTTTTGCCTTGAATTGCCATGGTCTTTAAAAGGCCTCAGTTAAAATTTATGGAGGGTATCAATTAACCTTGTTTAATTCAGCGAGGTCAGGGCCAGTACTGTTCATGGCTGTTGCTTTAATTGGGTTAGTCATAGCCACTGTTGGTGTAGAAACAGAAACACAGTATCTGACATCCAGACAGAGTTCTTTCAGGGCACAATGCTTCTATAATCATGTATTATACCTTTTAGTTTTTCACTTTGAGTCATAATAAGGCCCAACTTGAGGGGAATAATGGCTATGCCTGTTCAAACTCAGTTTCTTGTTTCAAATCACTCTGTAAATGACAATCGACTTTAAAAGTGGGCTAAACAAAAGCTTGTGAAAATTGTGAAATTGCTAAGCACCTGTGTGAACAAATAATATTTTATTTTGGAATTTCTATTTTAGGAGGAAATTATTATGACAAGACTCATGTCATTGTAAATCAGCCCCTGGATGGAGAAGAGACACAGAAATGGGACATTGAAATACTGTGAGAGAATCAACATTAGAAGGAGCAAAGGAACCTCAGCCTCCCTCATTGTCTTATACATGTTGAAAAGAAGCTACCGTGTCCTCACCCTGAGCAGAATGACTTTTTCCCCAAAAATCTTCAAGATTATTGCCCTTCAACCATAGAAGACTTCAAAATGACTCTGGCCACTTAATGTGTCTCTCTGATTTCTGGGAAATGGTTTTACTCAGACTGATCCCAGTTGTGGAGAGCAAGTTTCCTGAATTCTGTATTTTCTCTCCTACCCACCAAACATGAATCCTGTATTTGATGACCCAATATAGGAGCCTGGTGATATTGTCACTTGTAGTAGTTACCAGTACCCTCATACTGGTTACTTCTATAACTGCAAGGCACAAGGAAACAAACTGCTATAGGAGGTCATCATCCTCTTACAGATGAATAATTTTTAACATCTGAAAACATTTAATAAGCCTTACTTTAAGCTACTGTTATACTAAATAAGCCTTCAAGTTTCTATATTGAAGCACAACGTAAGTGTTTATACAGTACTTTTAATTGACCCCAGAGAGGCACTACAGCTTTTTAAAGCAAAAAGTATCCATACTGGGAGTATTTTCTGTGGCCATTCCTCATTTTTTTTTTTAAAAAAAACTATGAATAACCTCACAGTGCAGACCTCTAGAGTTAAAATCTAATGGTAACAGAGACACCCCTGTAGGCGGCAAGACCCTTAACATAGTTTCTATCCTGGTGCTAAGACCTTGCCCTAGATTTTGCCTGATTTGCCCTTAAGGCAAAGTGTTTAGAAAGACTTATATAATAGTCAAAATGTTTTTGACTGCCTGAAATAAAAGGAAATTCTAAATGTTCAAATTAAAGCAAAGTAATTTGAGCTTTGACCTTACCATCTTACTGTTCAAGTAAAAGTGTGATGATTTCTCTACTTAATGACACCAAATTCAGTTTTCACTCTGATTTTAAAGAACTCACATTTAAACAAAATCAGGTAGGAAATGATCTTTGACTTAGTAATCTAAACACCTTTAATAGCACAATTCCCAACTATTTTTCCCTCTTGAGTTGTATTTAAATTTACCTTGAGACAATTGTTCATCTCCCAATTTTTGCCAGAAAATGTTCTATTTTTATATAGAAAAATTAAATTATCCAGTGATATTTTTAAAAATATCAACCTATATGCACTTTAGAATGTAAAATAACAGTGAAGAGCCCACTGTTTTGAGTATTTTTATAGGCTTGGTCTTTTCATGTAAATACTGGTTGTTTCCTCCTTTTGATCTCAGGCTCTTATCTTTTAAGCAGTATCTGAAGATGTTGAATGCCTCTCAAGACTGTGGTGGTATTATTAAACGTATGTTACAGGGAAAACTGTGTACACAAAGGTATGTATATTTTCCTTGTAAAAAACCAACTTAAATTGTTCAAAATTTTTCTAGAGCCAAAGAAGCTCTAAAGAAGTTGTTATTCCAAAGAACAAAGATATGACATTGAATTCTACATGATACATTTATTGGAGTTGTGCCTTTTCTACCACACTGGATTAAATAAACTTTCAAAAGCATGGTTTGGTCACATTCTGGGACACCTAGTATTTCACTGTTTTTTCTTCCACGTGCCCAATTAGTACAAGTATGTCTAACAGATATGCTGTAAGGTAAGGAGGGATGGTGACATTCTCTTCTTGGGTCCTTGTGGGTGGACTCAAAACAACAGTACCTACCTAGCACTTGCATTTCCCTATTTGCTTCGGGAAAGACACTAAAGTACTTGTACTAAACATTCTGTCCAGAGGGATAATACCAAGTTCTCCTTTTCCTCATCTGTAGTTAGTTTCAGGTCCTTGACAGAAATAGCTGAACTGTTCCAAATTTGCTTCAGTGCATCCACATGTGAGAAAGGAAAGCGAAGTCCATGAGACTGAAAGGGATAAATTAGTCAAAAAACAAACTTATGTCACTAAAATAGCATTTTCAAACTTGGACAATTCTCAACACATTATGTTTGATGCCCAACATAACAACTTTAGATAAAGTAGTTATACAAAGTTGCCAACATCCACGTGATACTTGTACTTCATGAAAAGCACTCTGATTTTAGGAGTAATACTAGTCAATTGAAATACTTCACATTTCTACTTTCCCTATTAGGCTACAGGTCCCCACATGACTATGTTTTAAAACTGGTCAATGTGTATCACAGAACTGTCTGACTTAAATCACCCCTTTATAAGGAAATGTGAAATGTACATCCATACTGCAGCCATAAAAATCATGTTACCTGTAAATAAAGTTTTTCCCAGCCACCTCCCAAATCATAGGAAAGACATTTTTCTTAGATGGAACAAACCTCTGTTTCCTCATTTCCCATCATATGTGTGTGTCTCCTATTCTTTAGAGAATGATAGATGTAAACCATCTTTTCTTGAGCTTCATCCTTTAAAGAAAAAAAAAAGTGTAAAGTTATCAACAAAATATTACAGGCCTTAATACTAGGCAGTTTTTCCAACAGGTCAACAGAGAAAAAAATTGTAAAGTCTTGATGGTCAAATTTATTGAATACTGTAAGGAATCCTCTGGGAAAAGTTCTATGGGAGTACATACACACATTGTACATACTTCCTCAGTCATCAAAACTACCTATATGTAGTACCCGAAGTCACTTTTTTAAAGGCAACAGTTTCTTTTATATCTGTACTTTTTCATCAAAAATTGGTAACTGATAGTGATTAACTGAAGGGAAATACCAGCTGTATGACTTATAAAACATTTCAGTTTCAGTAACTAAACATTTTCTAAATAAAGTAGGAGTGTGTACTTTTGAGACGTTATATATGTCAGACTTATCCAGGTCTGATCCTGATGGCTGGTACAGTCTGGTTAGGAAGACATGTAACAACCCGCCCCCCCAGCCCTTCACTGGGTACCTCCCAAGACAGCTGATTAGAAAAAGAGGTATGGGATAGTTCCCCAAGTCCTCAGTTTTATAGGGACTTTTGAAAAACCATAAACAGACCATAACCCAGGTCAGATGAAGTCAGGAATTTATCAAAGGTTTCCAGATGATTCCATGATTCCCCAGGGTGATAAGGTTATAGTATATAGATTCTGTTCTCCCTGATTTATAGGATAAGAGGTTTTGGTAGAAGAATCAACAAAACCACACAAAAATAGATCTGTGTACTATAGAGGATAAAAGAGGAACTGAGGCCGGGATTCTTGCAAACAGGTCTGCCGTTATGGCAGTATGGCCTGCAGCAGAATGAGAAGCCAAGACCAGTCATATATCCATATAAGGGGAAAGACAGCAAGCCTTGAAATACCCAACAGGCAGGAAAATTTAGAACAGGGAGATTTGGGTATTATGTGACCACTGCTGGCTTTTAACTGCAAACACGGATTCTGCAGGGAGAAGGGCAGCAACAGTAGTCCTTCTGATAACCTAAGGCCTGTGCTGGAAATACCAGAAGAGAAGATACTCACGGATCGATTCTGATCTGGCCCTACTGTGAGGATGATGTGATCTCTAAATTGCAGTCTCACTGTGCTGTGCAACCTCGGTAACACTCCACCTAGAAAACCCCAAAGAAAGAAAACCCCACCATCAAAAGTAGAAACCAGCAGATTCAACTTTGTTTGCAGGTCTATTTAAGAAAAAAAAAAATTGATAGGCAAATCCAAACATGGGGTGCCCTCTCCCACTCAAGTATTTGCTTACTCCAACATTTTTGTGATATTAAAAGTATAGTTTACATCCTTCAGGAGCTCATTCTTAGAGTGAAGACAGAAATATAATTAGATAATAAGTTGGTAAGAACATTAAAAGGTACAAATACAGTTGAACTGTAATAACTATCAAAATTGACAGGACTAGGTTGGCTTCCAAACACAGCACTCACCTTTCCAATTTCTATCCTTTATCTGCTTCTTGTCACACTCCTGGATCCTGCAGGGACTACCAACTTAACTGCACTAACACACCAATTCCTAGCTGTGGGACCCTGGCTCATCTAGTGCGGGTAGGTCAAGCAAATGTCATCCAATAAAGTTCACAGAAAAAAACTGCTACTCTTTCCTAAGGTAGATTTAACTTAGTAAAAAAGCAGCCACTAAAAACCAACTAAACTTACCGAAGATCAGAGACAACCCTGGCATTCTTCTCTTTCACCTAATGACAACATTTTACCCATCCTTGCCTTAAATCTAACAAGATTATTTCAGTGTTCAAATTCTTAAGATTATGAATAACGAAGTACCTGCAAGTATACATATTTTTACCCAAAAAGACAGGATATTTATTCCTCATCATACAGGAATACACAAATTCTCTGCAAGTGACCGCTAAGATGTTGGATACGGAGTGTAACACCTCCAGTCCAACTACACACAGTAAGGGTAGATTTAGGTCCATATTAAAACTAAAATGCTTCTTTCTTTCCATCTATTCAAAAAGAAGCCTAGCTAGGAAAGCCTCCAATACCCTCACCAGCACCAACCATCTATAGAGGTAAACAGGAAGCCCCACCTGGTGTTGACAACTCTGTTCCATCTCCTACATAGTAAGGGGGAAGTCTGTGTATAACAAAATCCTTCTTCATGTCTGATGAAAGCAGTTCTTTAGTGCCCTCCAGTCGATCTGCAAGAGTCCTCAGAAAGCTACTTAATCTTGTTGCAACACCTGATGTTTCCACCTGCTAGAAACAAAAATGAGCACAAGTCTGTACTGTAGCAGAACTTGCTGCCAACGTTGGTCTCCACAGTAATAAGCTGAGCCTAACACCCACCATGCACACTAGACCTGAATCTGTCATTACAGGGGAGGGGAAGGAAGGACACATCCAGGCCCTTAAAAACATTATTGCTTCTTGAAACCACTCCTCATCTTATTCTGACAACTGTTTATAAAAAGGATCAATTTTCGGGATTATGCATGAAAAGAAAAAGGGATCCTTGGAAATACAGCACAATCTGAGCTCTGCCTTTAGAAATCAAGTCACTACTCTAAGGTGATTGCTTCACACAGTAAAAGCAACCTTTGCTCTACTCAGCACTAATTCACCTATCTTCTCAAAACTATCCTAATAGAACTCCTGATTCAAAATGCAAGAGGATGATAAAGTCAGGGAATACACCAAGGTTGTACAGTAGATCTCTTCTCCAGTAATGTGATGTGTGCTAAACCTACAGTTCTGTAGAACTATTTATGTATCCAACTGTTTATTCAGCTAACATTCCCATAGTGCCTGCTAATGCTCTGAAAGAGCTGTTTGCAGTGACACCTACCACTAAACAGACATATAACAGGCAGCACTCCATTCATTCTGCCAACCCTATAGGTGAGCACAGCAGACAAGCTAAGTTCATCTGGGAAGAAGGTTCCCAACATCCCCAGGAGGTGGGGCTTCTGCTGGCCTGGGGTGAAGCTGCATGTCTACTTGCCTGCCTTTATTCCTTACCATCAGCAGCTGCCGTGGTATTCCACTCCGTAACTCCACATCTTCCTTTGCAGTATCAAACACAAGCCCTGAAATGGTGTCCAAAAGGAAATCTCCCCACGAACTAGAACATGCACCAAGAGAGAGAACAGTGAATGCATATAAAATATACATAAAATACCTACCAGTAGAACCAAAAGCTCCAAATCAGGTTCCAACCTTCCTGCCCAGACATCCTGTGTTCAATTAATCTGATATTACTCAGCATAAACACCTACACCTTCATCAACCCAGGTACTCACTTGAGAAGTTAAAGGTGCGAAGCTCAGCTTCTTTCATAATTTCTCTTAAAGATACCAGAAAATTAATCAGATACTATCATAAAGTTGAAAGTTCACAGGACCAAAGTTTTAATACAAGTGTCTATGAGGAAAGTTTTGCAGAAAATGTTGACACTCATTACAGGACCCAGAAAAAAAAATTATACAATAAATCCAACATGAATATATTTAGACTAACAAAGATCTCTGGGCGCTATGTAATTATCTGGATAGCTAAATGTTACATTTTCCTCTGTCACTTAGTAAAAAAAAAAAAAAAAAAATCTACCAACATCACGTGTTTTAAAAAATTAATTTCTAGCGATAGTTGCATTGGGATAGAAGCCACTGGGGTGGGGGGAACTAGGAATAAGCATCAGTTTGATCACCTTTGCTTCCTCTGGGGTAGTTAGAATTGCTTCATTCCTACCATGTGCCAATGTGAGAACCATGCTCTACGGCTGCTCTCTTTAAACATTTCTTAGCTTGTTTAAAAATTTTTGTGTGTACCACCAGAAGATTTTAAATTGCTAGCTATGTGCCAAATGGAAATTCACAGTATGACTTTTGCTTCTCACTCTGTAAGGAAAATTAACTTTTTTGCTTCTGTTCTGAATAAGCAGCAAAGGAAGACAAAAGCCACTTGAGACACACTTTCCCCAAGGCATCCACTATCTGGTGGCCTTACTGCTTTGTGACTTTAAGACACTCCTGACCTCACAACTTTTATGGAACTTCAACCCAGAAGACACATGCAGACCTCTCAGTAGCATAAAATACCCACTTCCTTTGCATGATATTAGATGGAAATTGTAAGACAACAGCTCATGGCAGAACTTAATGGCAGTTAAACAGTGCTCTATGCTCTTCTAAGAAAACATCTCAGAGGACTTTACAGAATTCAGGAATAACACCTCTTGAAGGGTTCACTTAGGTAAAATAGTCAGTCAACCTACTGCTGCTTCACACAAGAGGTACCAAAAATTCCAACAATGCTGCCTTGAGAAGTGCTAGCAAGAGGACCCAAATCTTCACTCTACCACAGTAGCTGAAGGAGCCCAGGCTCAACACAGGAATATCTCTAGGAAGCAATATTCCTCATTCTAGCTCCAACATCACAGTTAAAGGCACAAGATGTAGGTCAGATTCCACCCATATCCCTGGGCATCAACTTTTATAACTTAGGAAGTTCCTTCCCAGCCCCACCAGACTACAGAAGAGCAGGCTAGGATCCAGGAGCAGACTACCGGATCTTCACTCAGTATTAGAGCAGGTACTTAACAGCAGGAAGCAAAAGCTAATAGGTTTAATGAAACAGGGAGGTGAAGAGGTAACTGATGATGCATAGCTTATGATGAGCCAACACAATTAAGTATACACAAGAGCAAAAACCAATTACTAGAAAACTAGATGGTGACAGTAACCAGGATGAAAGACAGATGGAAACCAGGATGATGAGAGAGAAGGAGCAAACAGTAGCTGAGTAACATTAATGATGAAACATCAGAAAACGCACTCATGTTCACAGGACCAAAATATGTGGCTGCCAAGGTCCAAAGCAGATCTGGCCTCAGAATGAACTTCTGGTTCCAGACTCTGACCTGGCCCTTCTACACTTCCTATGTCTCACTCCCTCAAGTGCCACTACTCTTTTTGAACCAGCCTCAGACTTGTTTCTCATTTGTGAAGGAACCAAACTAACCACAGTTACAAAAGGCATTTTTCAAAATGGAAGCCTAATAAAGCTTTGTCGTTCTACTTCTGGATACTTCTACTTGGTCCTTCTATAGCACTAACTACAGGCTGAATTCCAGCTAGCTCCTCCATTAAGTCTCTTAAACAAAGGTAAATCTCACACTAAAAACTCAGATGAGGAAGAATAGGTATGTGTACTAACTTGTTTTGGAAGTTATGGCTTTGAAGGCAGGAGGGAACCTGCTGTCCCCTGTGCCTGGCATGACCTCTCCTATCCTGATCTTCTGACCCACCCTCATTTATTCATCTTTAAAACTCACTAGCATTGATGTCAAGTCATTTCTGAAAGCTTCTGATGCCCCAGCTTAGCTAATTATGATGCAAGGGTCTCTATGTAAACCTACAACAGAATTTATCACACTGTTTGGCAACTACTTACATGTCTATCTCCCGCTCCTACCACCATTTGCAAAGTGTAAGCTCTCTCAAAGCCCCATGAATACATAAATGCTGAGATTCTTGCAAGTAGCAGTGTCCAGTGCATGCCTGACAAGTTAACCAACAACTGGTGTTTTCAATGTGATCTAGACCAGCAAGGTTGCTACATTTTGATCAGAGCTCATACAGAGGTACCACCTAGTTTTTGTCATGATTGTAACTGTTACCTCTGATTTTAGCTCCCACTTCTTTTCCTACTTCAATTTTATGGGCCGTAAAAACTGGAAATTAAGAGCAAGTTTCAAAGGTTCCAGAGTTTCTGTCTGGGGAGGTTGAAAATGCTTCAAAACAGAGTAGTGATTATTGTACAATAGTATGAATATAATCTCAACCAACAAACTGTATGTTTAAAATTGCAATATGTTATGCAAAATATATATATCCATAATAAAAAGAGGAAGAGAGACAAAGAATACATGCCCAGGCTGGCAGACTAAAACACTGACATACACACAATTACGGTTCTTTACTTTGCAAAGTATGGTACCCTTTACTTGGGGCAACTGCCAGTATCCTACAGAGAGATCCATGACCTTCTCAGGGTGAGGTTGGGGTAATTGTACACATGGAACAAAAAAATACGGCAGTCAGCAAAATCCCTTGCTGAGAGGTAGTGGCTACTCCCTCAGGTGAATGTGGCTGGAATGGGCTGTAGCTTGGTGCTGCCCTAGGTTGCTAGGCAGGAAGAAGAAAGTTTACTTGTTCTGGTAAGTGCTGATGGTCACGTGAGTAGAGTGGGCCAACCCTGGAGGAGTGTCCGCTTGATGAATGGTCCCTCTGGGAAAGTACAACAAATCACCTGGCTAAAAGGCAGAAAAAAGGGAGGAGAAAGTTATTAAGAGGCATCCTTCTCAAATCCTCCTTAAAAAGATAAATACAGGGTTTGAGTTTTAGTCCTCCTCTCTAGAAAGCTACTTCAAGAGAGTCTGTACACTGAGCTCCCCTGGTCTCCAATGAGTCTAGCTTCACTCAGCCCATGAGCCTATCACTGAACCTCCACCCACCCAGGCTTTTAGGCCTAGAGTTACCATCTCAAGCTGATATGAGCTACACCTGAAACCACCCTGTCCCGATTCTGGGATGGGAAAAGGTGACAACTGCTTCCTGGGAGCCAACTCCCTCCCTCTAAGAGGAGCAGCTTAGTCATGCAGATGGTGCAACTTATAGGCTGTAGGGTGCTTTGTTTACCTGCCCTTAGCCTCAGTTTCTCTGTGAAAATGAGGTACCAGCCACAAACCCCACAGGATTAGAGGATTAAGATGCTGAAGTTTCCAAAAGCTCTTGGGGCAGGGATGGCTTATATTTTATAATATATAAAATATTACGTATTTTATCTGCTTGTTCCCCACCACTTGATAATGTGAGTTCTTCTAGGCAGAGTCTATATCTTACCCAACCCATAAACCCCTAGCCTAACCTAAAGCAGCTTCCACACAACATAGGCTCAAAGAATGTTAGATAAATGGATGAACCTATTGAACCTAAAAGCTAGATCTTATCAAAGATTAGTCTTTTTTTGTTGTTTTTTGAAACAGGGTCTCACTATATAGTTCAGACTGGCCTTGAACTCACTATGTAACCCAGGTCTGGCCTCAAACTCTCAGTGATCCTCTTGCCTCAGCCTCCCGAGTGCTGGGATTACAGGCCGTGCCACCATGCCTGGCTCAATTATTTATTTTTGTGGGAAGATGAGCCTCTTCCACCCTATTCCCTTTGTCTCTCATTGTCTCTCACAAAGCAGTAGACAGAAATATTCTCCTCAAATTATTCCTGCCCTGAACTACTTTCTTCCAAATCCAAACCATATCAAAATATCCTGAATAGTAACTGCCAGACAAAGGAAGGAACCTTGAGAACAACTCATCTCCTCTCTGCAAGTATGTGAAGCAGTCTACCTCAATAGCTAAGATCAGGAGCCATGCACACAAGGCTCAAGAAATGTTCTCTAAGAATGGATTTTAAAGCTTTTCCTCAAAGTGAGAGGCAATACACTCTGATTGCTAATTTTTCTCTAAATGACACCAAACTGACAGTACTTCAAGTAAATAAAAGTTTTACTGATAATTATAACATTTACTGAGTGTCTGTCACTCCAAGTGAGTCCTTCACATACATAACCATTATTTTATTCCCACTAAAGGAAATTAAACAAGTTTTCTGAGAAATGGAATAGTTTAATTATGAAGCTATTCCTATCCCTCTGAGGTTTTTTTTTTTCCTCAACCTCTCCTTCTGGGAATTAGCTATGTTCCCATCCAGTCTAACTGCTCAAAGATGGATTTTCTTAGCAACAAGATGCTAACAAACCAGTACATAATCAAGCCATCTGGCTCTCTGGAGAACTCCAAGAACTTTTATAATTACTATTCTCCTAACAACTATATGCAATGGAAGGAAAGAGTTTGCAGAGGACAATCTGTTGCACAATTAGGAGGAAAATGGGTCATAATGAATTTTAGCTGCAAAAAAACAGAGATTCTTGGCTGTACTATGCCTAAGCTCACTACTGTCTTAGATGTGGAGAAACTGCACAAGGCCAAATCTTCCACTCTTACTCTGGAGAAGCTCATACTGCATTGAATTCAATTTATTTCTATTAAACTGGATCATGCATGGAGACAGGTTATTCGGAACTTAATACTTCTTTAGGTCATTTCTCCAAGTACAATCCACAATACTCCAGAAGCCGCCTGTATTGGCTGCTTGCAATGGAAGCCACCATGCCTCAATCCCTGGGATATATGCCCATGGGACCATTATACAAACTCAAAACTTCAAGCCTTAGCAACAGTAACAATGAGCTCAGGAGGCACCCAATTGGTCATCCTGTACCTTCAACATGAACTCATGTGTTGGCGCACCAAGCCGGGCCTCGTACTCCACACTGTACTCGCATGCCAGTGCCACTGTGGGGGGATAGAGCCGCCAGTGCTTCTCTCCCTCCAGCTGCAGGATGAAAACCTACAGAGAGCCCCAGACCAGGAGTATCAAGAAACCTTCTTGATAATTCACAGGCAAAGTGCCTCCCAAATATAAGCCCTCCAAGGGGTTAGACCAATCACAAGTTTAAGATAAAAGTAAAAGATCAGAAATACATGTCACTGCACACAAATATAAGGTGCCACTACTGGTTTTTATTTTTAAAAACAGATAATCATGAATCCTGATAGTGGATATTCATCCTTTCCATTTTGCTAGAGCATAGGCAAGTTCTTTATATCCCACTATCTCATTCCTTTAAATCTTCTATCAGATAGCTGAAAGCCTATAATCTCTTGTGGGAAAGCTAAGCTTCAGTATTGCTGAATGTCTAAAATCCCCAAAATTGAAAAAGCACTGGCAGATAGGCAAACTTAATAGTTTTTAATTCTTTTTTCAGCCAAAGATGTTTTAATGCTCTACTAAGAATATGCTTTTTAAAAACACTTAGAAAGTGTACTGATATCAAATTGCACTCCAAGGTTAAAAAAAAAAGAGGACTTTCTACTAATATCTCTGTGTTCACACCTTGTACTGTATTAGCACAAAAATAAAACTATGAAACACCTAAGCCAAAGAGTTAACTTTTTTTGGAACCAACATGAGTGAAATCAACACATGTCAAGGTGCCAGTGCTTAAATGAAACCATGACCCTCATTCAGACTCCCCTAAGATTTTCATAAATGGAAAAAATAGATATACTTTTGGCAGCTACCAAAAAAGAACAAAATGAAGGCAGATGTAAAGATTTGTGATCTCACCTTTGTGAAATTAAAGAAAAAGCTAATCACTTTTCTATAGCTAAATTCAATAAATACCTGCTTCAAAGGAAGGCATGGCTCTATTAGTAAGCTTGGTAATAATTCCTCCCTTTGAGAAAAAGCAGGAAACCAGTTTGGAGAAATCTGTTTAGGCCCAACATTTAGATGAGGTCAGGCTCTCCAGATAGTACACAGAAAGAGCAGCCACAGACCTGGTCTAAGAGCCCTACAGAGTAGCATGAACTATACAAATCCAGGCTCACAGCAAACTCTTCTTTCCCACCCAGGGCAACGTGTTTTCTTTCTTACCTCAACATCATCATAATGGGGAGGTAGGCCCTGAGATCCTGCAGGGGTTATGTACACATTTGAGCCGACCAAGGAGCCAAAGTAACATTCTAGCTTCTCCTGGACCCTCCAAAGCTCATCCTGAAGCGGGGGTGGGTGAGGAAAAATAGAAATTAAAAGAAAGCAAATGTACTTGTTCATTTACAAAGTCTTTATTGTACAACTACTACAGACTAGACAGTTAAGTAATAAAAAAACCCTCAAGAATCTTCCATTCTAGTGCAAACACCACTGAAAAGATGTGAGCAGATAAGTGACAGTCTGGCAAAACACACAAATGGGTAGAGAAGGAATTGTAGAAATACAAGAGAGACTAGTCTAGAAGCTACTGAGGTAACAACCCAGGGGAGAAACAAGCAGGTAATAAAGGGTGGGAGAGGAAGAGAGAGAAACAGCAAAACAAGGTGTACTGTGGAAGCAGCACTGACAGGACAGGCTGATAGATAAAAGGGGTGGAAATGCCAGAAGTCAAAACAAACAAAAAACTCCTGGATTTTTGATCTGGCAATCCCGCTTCCACTGAGAAGAGGAAGACTTGCTTCAAAACATTTATTTTTCGGGAGGAAAAAAATGAAACAAAGAGTTTTACACTAGAGATACTACATTTGGAAAGCTAGGACACTTTCCCTCCCCCAATATGCAGATAATTTTAAGTCTGAATTTCTGGCAAGAAGTAAGGACTTGGATTTACATTCGAGCATTACTAACAATTGCCTTAGAATGGTTATTTAAGCCAACAGGAACAGAAATGACCACTTAGGAGGAAAGCATAGACACAGGAGTAAGAACAGGGCCCAATAATACTCCATCTCTCTAGTCACTAATCAGTTCTTCAGGCATAAGGCAAATGGAAGAGCCTGTGAGGAGCCAAATATTCCTGTGAGAGAAATCTGATTTTCCCAAGACAGATGAGAGGGAGGCAGCAATCAGGTCACATGGACATTGGCACTTCCTATGTGGCAGGTGCTGCTTCTAAGTGTTTCACACATATTAATTCTAGAACCCTCACCATAATCTGTCTCACAAGATGGGTACTATCATTATCTCTGGTTTACAATGAGGAAATCAAGGCACCAAAACACACAGTTGCTAAATGATGGAGCAAGGATTCAAATTCTGGTAGCCTGGCTCCAAGATTCCATGCCTCTAATATAATTTAAGAAAGGATGAGTCATTATATTAAAGAGACCAAAGTATTAAGCAAAGTTTTAAGTACAGTGCCTGACACACAGAAGAAATTACAATATATGCTGAGTAAACCAATGGCCACAGCTTGGGGGTCAATCCCACCATGGGACCGAAAACAATACAGTATTAAAAATACCAAGTGACTGTGATAAAAACAGCATGGTACTGGCAAAGGAACAGACTTGAGGACCAGTGGAACAAATTAGAAGATGCAGAAACAACACCAGACACACTCAGCCATCTCATCTTCCATAAAGGAGCCAAACACCCTCACTAGAGGAAAGATAGCCTCTTTAATAAATGGTGCTGGAAAAACTGGGCTTCAACTTGCCAAAGATTAAAACTAGACCTATATCTCTCACCATGCACTAAACTAAAATCAAAATGGATTAAAGATCTAAATATTAAAATAGAAACTCTGAACCAGTTGGAACAGAGGTTAGGTAGAACCCTTGAAGACATCGGTGTAGGAAAAGATTTTAAGAACAAAACCTTAGTTGCCCGTGAACTAGCACAAACAATCAATAAGAGGGATCTCTTCTTATTAAAAGGATTCTGCACAGCAAGAGAAACCACCAGCAGTGTGAAGAGACAACCCACAATGTGGGAAAAAATCTTCACCTGCTCTTCCTCAGACAAAGGTCTACTATCTTGAATCTATAAAGAACTTAAAAAGATCAGACCTCCCAAATTTAAAGACCCAATCCAAAAATAGGCATCTGAAATGAACAGACATTTCTCAAAGAAGTAGAAACAGCAAATAAATACATGAAAAAATGTTCAACATCACTGGTCATTCGAGAGATGCAAATGAAAACAATGCTGAAATTCCACTTCACTCCAGAAAGAATGGCTATCATGAAATCAACCAATAACCAATGCTGGCGGGGCTGTGGGGAAAGAGGAACCCTGCTCCACTGCTGGTGGGAGTGTAGACTGGTGCAACCACTGTGGAAATCAGTATGGAGATACCTCAAAGAACTAGCACTGGAAGTGCCATTTAACCCCACTATTCCACTGCTGGGGATCTTCCCCAAAGAATTAAAAGAATCATACCACAGTGATACATGTGCACCCATGTTCATAGCAGCACAGTTTGTCATAGCTAAAACTTGGAAACAGCCCAAATGCCCATCAACTGGAGACTGGATAAAGAAAATGTGGATTTTTTATAAAATGGAGTACTACTCAGCCATAAAAAATGAGAAATTAGAGACATTTATAGCTAAGTGGATGCACATTGAGGCAATACTCTTAAGTGAAATAAATAGGACACACATGTGTAAATACCGAATAGTTTCTCTGGTGTGAGAAACTGAAAGTGTAAATAAGGACTAAATGTATAATAGGTAATGTGAAATAGGAAGAAAAGGGGCAAAGGGGAAGGAAGTGGGAGGGCTAGGGGAAAGGATAGAAGGGAATGGGATTAATATGAGAAAATGGAAAAATAGGAACAAAATCTTTGTAAATAGGGAGGACTGGAGGGGTTGAAGGGAGGGCTGGGCAAGGGTGAAAAATAAGAACCAAGAGAGATTATGTAAAGGTGCAAATTTCCAATGATGAATGTCATTATATTGTATACCTAAAATGTACCAATGATTAGAACGAATAATCGATAATGTAAAATAGGAAGAAAAGGTCCAAAGGGGTAGGGGTAGTGGGAGGAGCAGAGGAAAGGAAAAAAGGGAAAGGAAAAAATGATGAGAAATGGAAAAAATGGAAATAAAGTATTTGTAAATAGAGAAGGGTGGAGGGCGTGAAGGGAGGGCTAGGAATGGGGAAAAAATAAGAACCAAGATGCGTTATGTAAAGGTACAATTCCCAATGAGAAATGTAATTGTGTTGTATACCTACAATGTACCAATAAAAGAATTTAACAAAAATAAATAAATAAAAATAAAAATACCAAGTGAGAAAGACTTGAGCCAGTTATGAAAAAAGTTTTAACATACATGTATATATACATGACTGGCCTTCCTTAGAGATTACAGAGGTTCTCCTTAAACCTCTCCCCCCAAAAAATTTAATGCCTCTGAATAACTCTGAAGAGATAACAGGGGTTCCAAGGAGCTTAGTTATTCAGGGAGAGGCCAATATGACCTGACTCTGTAATTATTTTGATGGGGCAACTGGAACCACTAGAAAATCAGGGCTTTTCTGACTTTCCCTCTCTGATGCCCTGAGAGGTCCAGGACTATATAGGTGACTTATGGTTCCCAATTCAAGCATGAGTCAAGATCTGTAACTCATGAAACTATGTCACTTCTCAAAGGTTATCGAAAAAGCTATCAATTGTTTTGTTTCCATTTCTCTTGGACCTCTGGCTTCTGATTCTGCCAACTGTGGCCTACACGAAAGAGACATGGGGTCAAATCACTTTGGTCCAAGTTGTAGTTACAAGCTAGGTTACTTTGGTTTCTTTATTTATAAAACAATCCTATTACCACATCACCCTAAGACTGGGGAGCAACACAAAACAACTTATTTCAAATCTTATTCCAATTTAAAAGCAGTACACAAGTGTTGTTGCTTCGCCAACACTAACTCATGCACAAGCAAGCCTCCCGAAACCCATCTTCTCCTTTACCACATGACTCCTAACAGGTGCATAAATGCTGAGGGGATGTGGAACAATGAAATAAGGAAGGTAGAAGTTTCTTCCCAGGTGGACAAAACCTCCTCTGTCCACTCACCTCTCTACAATTCCCCAAAGTAAATCTCTACAGAATCAGAACAGAATGCCACAGATAGGTCCAAAAATCCATGTGTATACCTGAAGAAAGACCAAATAAATATGGAAAAAACCTTACATTTCAACTAACATCTTTCAAAGTATGGTAGGACAATGACTTAAATTTAGAGTCACACAAGTTCAGAATAGCTATGGAAAAGTATCTAGAATACCTAGATTAATAAGCTGTTCACAATCTTAGAACCAATAAACAAATGGCTGTCTAATCCAATGTCCACCCAACTCTACCACCAATGAAAGACTTCTAAACTTTTCTACTCTGTTGTTAATACGTCCATTCCTAAACACATACACACTACACCTCTTTAAAATACAGTACTTAGAACTCAGCTTCTTGTGTAAGAGGGTGGGGTTTAGTTTCTAAGTCTCTCAGGTACTGGTGGTGGAAAGAGAAAAAACAAAACATCCTAGTCGAGCTGGAGGGATAAATATGGGCAGAGAAAACTCATCCTTTCTGTATCAGTAAGAACAGAGTAAACAGGGTAAAGGTCACTTAAGATTCCCAGAGGGTTGCACAGGTAGACAAGAAGAGAAAGCCCAGAGAGAGATGACACCAAAGTACAGAAATGATGATCACAGATGACACCACAAACAGGTCTAACGATAACTTCTGCTAGGATACAACCAAATTACATATAAATTCCATTGAACTCATCATTTATGTTCATAGTTCTTAGGTTTCTAAAAGCCACTTCCAGAAGTGCTGCTTCCCAGCCCAATTGCCCATCAACTGGAGACAGGATAAATACGATGTGTTTTCTTTATAAAATGGAGAACTACTCTATTTTAAAGAATGAGAAACTAGAGACATTTATAGGTAAATGGATGCACACTGTGACCATATTCTTAAGCGAAATAAGTAGGCCACACATGTGTAAATACCGAACAGTTTCTCTGGTGTGAGAAAATGAAAGTGTAAATAAGGATCAAAATGTGTAACAGATAATGTGAAATAGGAAGAAAAGGTCCAAAGGAGAAGGGAATGTGGGAGGGCTAAGGGAAAGGAAAGAAGGGAAAGGAATAAATATGAGAAAAGGGAAAAATGGAAACAAAGTCTTTGTAAACAGGGAGAAGTAGAGTTGAAGGGAGGAGAATGGGGAAAAAAATAAGAACCAAGATGTATCATGTAAATGTACAAATT